AGTTTCTTGACCACTACGACTCATTACAAGAAATTGAGTATAGTTCCCTGTGTTATACAGTAGGTCCTTGTTGTTTATCTGTTTTATGTATAGTAATGTGTGCCTGTTAGTCCCAATCTCCTAATCTATCCCTCTCCCCCACACCTCCCTGGTAACTGCAGTTTGTTTTCTATGTCTGTGAGTCTATTTTTGGTTTGTAAATAAAATTTGTATTTTTTTTTAGATTCTACATATAAATGACATCATATGATATTTGTCTTTCTTTGTCTGACTTACTTCACTTAATGTGATAATCTCTACGTCCATCGATGTTGCTGCAAATGGCATTATTTCATTCTTTTTTTATAGCTGAATAGTATTCCATTGTATGCATATACCACATTTGTAGTCATCTGTTGATAGACATTTAGGTTGTTTCCCTGTCTTGGCCATTGTAAATAGTGCTGCTGTGACCATTGGGGTGCATGTGTCTTTTCGAGTTAAAGTTTTCTCCAGATATATACCCAGGAGTGGGGTTGCTGGATCATATGGTATGTCTATGTTTAGTTTTTTAAGGAACCTCCATACTGTTCTCCATAGTGGCTGCACCAATTTACATTCCCACCAACAGTGTAGGAGGGTTCCTTTTTCTCTACACCCTCTCTAGCATTTATTATTTGTAGACTTTTTAATGATACCTATTCTGAGTGGTGTGAGGTGATACCTCATTGTAGTTTTGATTTGCATTTCTCTAGTAATTAGCGATATTGGAAGCTGCCGTGTTTTTAAACCTCTTGGCTATGGGGGATATTTTTCAGCAGTGAGTCATTTATTCAAACTAGGCATCAGAGATCTTCCCAGGATTTTTTAATTTGATGCAAGAAAGTGTGTGAGTTAGCCTTTGGGTGGTGGTGGGAGCAGTAAGAAGTGAATTTAAGACAGTTGGTAACTTTGTTTGCTATCCGCTAGAGGACGTGGTATTATTCAGTGAGAGAAAATTAAGCAGTTCCACAAACATCAGAGGAGACAAAGACAAAGTTCTATGGCTGCAGGTCCCCAGTTCCAGTGATGCCTGAATCCAATTTCATTCTCACCATTCCTGCATTTCTATGGTGTGGTTTCTAACTTTGGCTGATTTTGCTCACCATTGCACAGCTAACATCAAACACAGAACCCAGAAAATAGAATATGCCAGATTTAACAGACAGATAGATAGATACACGTTTGTATCTATAGTTAGGTCTGTATCTCTATATATCTGCTGAATGAATGTTAAATGAATCTATATACATCTAATTGAATGCATGCATGAGTCACCCTGCAATTCCAATAAATTCCCCTTTTAACCTAAGTTGGACTTCTGCCACTTTTAGCAGAGTTCTAACCTCACAATAACCTGAAACAACTACTGCATACATTACTTAGAAATCTCTTTTATTTTTCTAAATTGGAAGAAAACAATGAGGCTCTCAGGGTGGTCTAGAAAAATTGGGGCATTGTATACCAAACGTGAAATAAAGAATATTGGATCTGAGAGCATGTGGATGGCTATCCACTGGCACTGCCTCTCCCTCAGTACTTCCAGCTATGAAGGTCATGTTAGAAACTTCACTTATTGCCCTGAGACAAGAAGGCAGAGATCCTTCCTCCCAGAAGCCAGAAATTTATGGCACTCGGGGTAACAATGGAAGTGCATCAACCCCTAAAAATATGGTTTAGATCAAATCATGCTCCTCTGAGCCTATATGATGTAAGCCCGGCTTCCTAAACCAATTTTTTTTTTTTGGTGAGAAAAAAATTACAATAATGATATTTAGGTTTAGAAGAGACTCTGTGTGTCATTGTTCAGTGAGAGAAGGTGGGTATGAGAGTAAGTACAGTGGGAAAAGCCTCTTCCCCAGTAACCCAGGTTTCTGCACAGCGTGATGGACCATAGGTCTGTGATACACCCCAGATAGGAGTTCACTTCTCCTTTGCAGCATTTTGCAATGTTTTCCTAACTCAGCTATTTTCCCCGTGCCATGACCTGACTTTCAGGGCCCCAACCCACCTTAATTCTCCCCTTGCCTATTATCCTCTGACTCGGAGCCCTTAGAATCCTATGCTCCCCTCCTCCTAAAATCTAGATACTTAAAGTGTGTAACAGAATCATACTTCACATTATGCAGCTAAGGAAACTCCTTCTTAAATTTATACGTGTTCCATTTTTTCCTGCCTCTACCGTCGGAACGTCTGCTGTTCCCTCCAGCTGCGGTATCTCCATCACCACAGGCGCTATTCCTTCACCGACTAGCATCTGGCATCTTGACTTCTCCCCGCAACTAAATAAGACCTTTCCCCTCATTAAATCTCTGGCATTTATTTATATTATGACATCTATATATTCAACTGAAATGAGAAAAATTAGCTTATATAACTAGCTGGACTTGAATTTAGACTCTCCCAAAGTACTGTCTTCATTATTACATATGTGAGATAAGAACTCAATTCAGAAACGTTAGTAGAGAGAGGGGAGGGTATAGCTCAGTGGCAGAGCACATGCTTAGCATGCACGAGGTCTTGGGTTCACCCCTAGTAACTCTATTAAAATAAATAAATAAACAAACAAACTCAGTTAGCCCCCCAGAAAAATCCCAAAATTTAAATAAATAAATAATTCTAGTGCAAAAAACAAAAATTAGTAGAGAAAAAGCATTTTTAAAAGGAAATTGAAATGCAAACTAAGTTTTGATCAGCAAGTTAAAAACATACTGCAAACAACAATCTCACCTAAAAAAGGATTCACTCAGCCTTCTACGCTCTTTGCTTCTCCTAAAGACTGGGCCATTATTCTCTTCTTGGACTTAAAAAAAAAAAAACAAGAAAGGTTAGTTGTCATTAATTACATCATTGGATTGCGTTTATGGAGAAGATGCAGTTATATAGTCATGTACACTTATTTGATGACTATAAATTGTCACAAAACCTTGCAAATCCAAAATTGTAAGCTGGGCGGCATGATGGGGAGAAAGAGCTTTGGCTCTGATGTTAAAACATGTGCTCAAGTTCAGGCTCATAAAGTGTGATCTTTACCAGTTACTTTACTTCTCTGGCCTTAATATCTTAATTTGGAAAAATGAGGATAGTTCTGTGAATGAAAATGAGATAATAATGTGTATAAAAATGACTCATGGGATGCCTGGCAGAGTAGGTATGCAATAAACATTAGCTTAATTTAAATTAAGAAATCAAAGAACCAATTATAATTTACATCAAGAAAATGGTCCTATCTTCTCCATTACAGGAGTGTATTTTGTTTATTTGGGGGGGGTAAAAAATAATAGTATCTAATAAGTATTCAGAACAAGAACCTCCATCATCACAGACACTTGTAACAGTAGGCATTTCGCAAATGTGGGTACTAAATGTGATACAAATAACACCTTTGATTTTTGCTGGAATTAGGTAGCACATATTAGCACTTGTGGCCCAGAGGTCAGACCAGCTCAAGCCTATCTCATGCTTCAGGACCACATATTACAGACCGTCTAGGAGGTGAACCACCAGAGTCCTACGTACACAGCAGTACCTAACCCAGGAAGTAAGAGCTTGGAGGAGAACTGGAAACAGAGCACAGCACTGGTGGCACGTTGGAAAGGGGGAAGAGCTCGCTGGGGCTTCTCTGTTAGGAAGCTGGTATTACCCACATGATCCACCTGTACCTAGGTGCAAGTTCTCTCTTAAACTGAGATCATTCAAATTCACCAACCAAACTTGAACCTCCTCTTTTTTGTGTGTAAGGTCACTAAAACTTTCGTGTCAATGTCCCTGCTTCTCTGTATGTTAGCTTTAAGTTTTAATGTATAACAATGGGGTGGAGAAAGTTATCAGTTCTCCACTGAGAAATGAAGTCTGGCTCAAGCTCTGTTTCAGCACTTGGTGGGATGTCTGGTCTCCTGGGTGCCAGTGACCAGAACCTGGCAGGGATGAGGCAGTAATGACAAGAGAACCTGAATATGAATACTAGGTAATAGAGTGATCTGCCCACGTGTTCTCTAGCGTGCACGCAGCCGTCTTCACTCTCTTCAGTAATTTCAATGTGAAGTCTTTCATCCGTTTAACATGGTGTGTATCTGATGGCAGGTTCCGTGGTGCTGGTCATCTGAGGAGCACTTTCAGAAGCTACACTACAAAAACAGTGTACCTGCTGCTTCAGTGGTAGGAGGTTTGATTATATTTGTCAAATCCTGTTCCTGTGGGGAAGACCAACAAGCTCATGTAAAAGTTATCCACTCAACCTGAGAGACTCATCAGTGCCTTGTTTTAGGTTTATCCCACATCACTGGTTTCAGAAAATGTCTAGGTTTTAGGTTTAAAATAAAAATCACACACACACACACACACACATATAAAACTTTGGTTCAGTTTATGTTTCCTTAAGTTATTGTCTCGTTCTGGGTTGGGGATTAGTCCACTTCACTTTATGCCAGAGTTTCAAAATATGCCGCTAAAGCCTTTAAGGTCTTTTCTGTGATTCTGTTGCTGGGGTGATCAATTTGGTAGCTACTAGCCATCTATGGCTACTTAAGTTAAGAAGTTAAAATTCAATAGGACTAGTCACATCTCAAGTACTCAGTGGCTATAGATAGCTGATGCCTACTATTTAGACACGGAAGAATTCCGTCATTGCAGAAAGTTCTATTGGACAGTACTGTTCTAGAATGTACCCGAAACTAAGGAGCTAATAACCCAGTTCATCCTAGAGCTTTACTGCTAAGACCCTGTCACTCAGCTCCCCTCAGGGTTTACTAACCATTCCCTTCATCTAAACATAATGAGTACAGTTCAAAGGACACGTATCGAAGTTCTAACCGTGTCCCATATAAGGACACAAGCGTACTATAGAGAAAAGCCTCTTTTTCTCTGTGTCTCCAGGAAAGTTGAGCCTAATTAGAAATCCCATTTAGAAGTGTGACGTGAGTATTTTTATTACATATGATCGTAATTTTGAGCTTCCCTTGGTAAAATGATCTAGTTGATTGGAGTGAGAGCACCTTTGCCACATGACACAAATATTCCCCAGGCCTTCACCCAAGAGGTTTGGAGTCAGTTCTAATAATTATCTTTACTTAAATGTTCAGCAGTTAATGTGAGTGGCTTCTCCAGGCATGACATCATCATTATTAACATGAAGGACTCCAGTAATGACTGTTATCAAATAGATGTCCAGACAGGTTTGAGTCCTTCTCTTACTTCAGAAGTACACATTACAGAATGTCTAGGAGGTGAACCACGGAGGTCCTGTGCACACAGCAACACCTAACCCAAGAACAAGCAGCTTGGAGGCAAATGGGAATCAGCCATCACTGCCGGCTTGCGGGAAAGGTGGAATGTGTTTTATCCTCTAATGTGTGCTATGTATGACTCCTCATGATAGTGGTAGCTTTGTGTTTTCAAAAATTCCTGCTCCAAACTGTCAGATGGTACCTTCGGAGGTGAAAGTAAAGAACAGGTGGGGTGTAATTCTATGAATAGCTATGCGTGTGAACAGAAGATAAGTTTTTAAAAAACTCTTCACTGCTTTTAACATCATATGCAACATTTCTAGGAATTTAAATTCCATAAAACTTCTACCTACAATTGGCTTCTTTAATGTGTGTTTTCATCTTCTTACACACGCTGGGGGAAAAAGAAAGCCAAGAATAATTATGCTTGTGGATGAGGATAAATATGCATTTAAGGCAACCAACACCAGTTAGATATCCTAATTAGTGTGACAAGAGACCTGGTGAGCCACCAGGGAGTGAATAATCCTGCTAATTAGAACGGCTTCTACAAACACTTGCCCTGCTGTAGAGTGTCAGTGTGGAAAGGTGCTCGTTTATGACAGGGTACAAGCACCAGACGATTTTCTCACACTCTGTAGCTATTCAGTATTCCAAGAGGCTGAGTCTGGCTTGGAGGGAAGGCTAGGGAAGGGTGAATGGGCTGGTCTGGGTGTAGCTACACTGGCTACATGCAAGAGGTAGAAGGGCCCTCACGCTTCCCTTCTCCTTCTGTGCTAAGCGTGCCATCTCAGCAGCTGCCTGCTTCCCTGCCATGTGCCCAGCCCTGCCCACAGCATTTCACGTACTGCCGCAGCCCTGTGAAGCTGGTAACAGACAGGACACTGAGGCTCACAAAGCTGAAGTGACTTGCAGACAGTCACACAGCCGGGAAAGGTGAGAGCTAGGATTCAAACCTGGGCTTAGCTGAGTGCAAAGTCCCTGCTCTTTTTCTCTGCTTCTCACCAACTCCCAGTTACAGAGATGGATACTGCAAAGGGCTCCTTTATATACATATATATAAAATAAGACCATAAAAGTAAACAGCATAATGCAGTCCTGTATATTCTATTTTTAGCCATTCAGCCTTGGGTTTTTAAAACTTCTCCACAAGAAACATAAATTTGTTTTGTCCTTTTTTTTTTTTTTTGGTTAGGGAGGCACTGTTATTAGGTTTTATTTATATTTTTAATGGTGGTACTGGGGATTGAACCCAGGACTTCGTGCATGCTAAGCACATACTCTACCACTGAGCTATACCCTCCTCCCAAGAAACATTTGGATAGAGCCCCAAATGTGAAACACACAAGCAGGGCAGCTCTGGTTGAGCTGGGTGAGTGCCAGGAGCCCTGACTCTCATCCTCCCCTTCTCCCTGGATCTTCTAGGTCTCCTCGGGCACAGTAGGAGAGTCACACGCTGAGCTCCAGAAAAACAAAATCTAAAGGTGACTTTTCATCTTTTTATCTAGGTGTGATTCATGTTCTTAGGAACGGATTTCCAACCAGTATTTTTGAATGAAAAGTGAATGTTGTTAATAACCATAATAAACCACAATGATCAAGGCTGGACCTTGCTTGTGGTTTCCTTGCTGATTATCAGGAGTTTTCCAAAAGCCAGGTTCACAATCTTTCCAACTCCCCCCTGCACGTCTTCACCAAGTTTTCATTAAAAATCTGTGGTTGTTAATAAGGTTATTAAAATCAAACAAGAACTGACCAAATGGAATCCAGAGTCTCATTCTTTTTTTAAACTAATATTTAGTGAACATACTTTTCTCTCTTTCTTCTTTTCTTTCCCTTCTCACCTTCCCACCTTCCCTCCCTTTCTTCCCATTCTTTTCTCTTTCCTTCCTTTCTATGTGTCCTTACTCGTGGTAACTACGCCGCTGATAATGGATGGTCAGCTCATCCTCAGTGTAAAGAACGTGACCTTATCATCATCACTAGTCATCAGGGAAATGCAATGATATGTCACCTCACATTAGGATGACTGTTATCAAACGATCAAAAGATAACAAGTGTTGATAAGGATATGAAGAAAAGGGAACCCTCGTGCACTGTTAGTGGGAATGTAAGTTGGTGCAGCAGTTCTGGAAAATGGTATGGAGTTTCCTCAAAGAATTTAAAAGCAATCCCACTTCTGGGTGTATATCTGAAGGAAAAAGAATCACTGTCTCAGAGAGATATCTGCAGTCCCACATTCAAAGCAGAATTATTTACAGTAGCCAAGACGTGGAAACAACCTGAGTCTGGCAGTAGATGAATGGATAAGGAGAATGTAGTGTGTGTGTGTGTGTGTGTGTGTGTGTGTGTGTGTAAATGTATGTACACACACAATGCAGTATTATTCAGCCTTTAAAAAAAAGGACATCCTGCCATTTGCAACACCATGGATGAACCTGGAGGACATTATGCTAAGTGAAATAAACCAGGCACAGAAAGACAAATACTGCATGATCTCACCTGTGGGGAATCTAAAAAAGGCAAATTCATAGTAACAGAGAGTAGGATGGTGGTTACCAGGGGCTGGGAGGTGAGGGAAAAGGGTAGATGTGGATCAAAAGCCATAAACTTTCAGGTATAGGATAAGTAAGTTCTGGAGAGCAAACTGTATAGCATGGTGACTGTAGTTAATAATAATGTACTATATACTGAACTCTGCAAAAAGAGTAGATCTCAGATGTTCTCCACAAAAACAAACATACAAAAAAGTAACTGTGTGCCATAAAGGATATCTTAATTAGCCTGACTGTGGTCATCATTTCACAAAGTATACATATATCAAAACATCACATGTACACCTTAAACTCATAGATATTTTATTTGTCAATCGTACTTCAATAAAGCTGGGAGGAAAAAGAACATTATCTTTTTTGTCTCTTATAGAAATGTCTGTTTTCTTCTGTCGCTTTAAGAAATACATTACCTACCTTTTTTGTTGTTAGCATTGGCGTGATGAAATGGAAATAAGAATTTTCTGACACCTTTTGATTTTTCACACTCTTTTTTCAAAACAGTTGAATAATAGATGATACGAATATGTTGGTTGATTTCTCTATCTGGTGGACTCAAAAATTCTGGGTAATCATCAATCTGAAAAACAAAAATTGAGCTGATTGAAGACAAATGCAACTGCTTATCTGTTCTGGGATAATAAATCCTCCAAAGCTTAGGGCAAGTTTAAACTGCATTTTTTCTTCTTATGTTTTTTGCTGGGAAATCTTTCCTCTTCTTGTTGTTAGGTTTCCTAATTCCTCCTCTGTTTGTTTTAGTCCTTAGTAAAAATGTACCCAGCAACAAAACGCAAGAAACTATTTACACTATAGGATTGCTAAATAAACAGTAACAGTGTTTTTGTTTGTTAAACGGTATCCTTCACCACTTCCACTTTAAAAGCAAAAAAATTTTAAAGGTCTTAAAAAGGTATAATTAATTGGGTTTAAACTAGGCTTTGTCTATGCAGACGACAACGTCCATTTGTAGAGAACAGTCTACAAAGATCCTGTGAGTACAAACATCTAGGTTTGAACTATTGAAAGTTTCCTGCCCCTGAATAGTTTTTTCTTTCCTCCAAAGTGCTTGTTTTCTATTCTTTTTCTTTCTATTTATTTTTTTAAATAGAGCATGCACTCTACCACTTGAGCTATACCCTCCCTACCTTGTTTTCTATTCTTAATTAAAACGGGAAAGGTCGCTGGAGGGTGTAGCTCAATGGTAGAGTGCTTGCTTAGCATGCATGAGGTCCTGGGTTCCACCCCCAGTACCTCCATTAAAAATAGCTAAATAAATAAACCTAATTACCCTGACCCCCCCCCACAAAACCCTACATTAAAAGGAAAAGATTTCAATAAACACTTAGGGCTTTAAAATAAATAAATAAATAAATACATACATACATACATACATACATACATACATACATACTTAGAGCTTTTTAGATCTTTTCTTTAATGACCTTCTTCCCTTTTTATGACAGGTATGCAGCAATAGCGTCTGACTGAAAAGCTAGGAGGAGAGCCAGAGAATCACCTGAGGCAGACTGAAAACCATTCATTCAAGCATCAGGAGGGAGTCCTCTGTAGAATTTTTGCAAGTACTTAGCGTTAGGGTAAAAACATTTCCTGTGATTGTCCAGTTTCATCATTCTCTTTTCACAAATATAAGGAGGAAATAAATAATAATGATAAAATTTTAAAAATCTAATTCAGAGCAATTGAAGATAGAAAGATGGATTAATGAAGAGCTGTCAGGATCTCAAATTTAATTTTTTAAGAAGACATAAATGAACTTATTTACAAAACAGAAACAGACTCACAGACTTAGAAAACAGACTTATGATTACCAGAGCTGGAAGGGGAGGTGGAGGGATAAAGTGGGAGTTCACGATTTGCAGATACCAACAGATATATATAAACAATGAGTTTCTACTATATAGCACAGAGAACTATATTCAATATCCTGCAGTAAACTATAATGAAAAATAATGTGAAAATGAATATTTGTATGTATATGTATGACTGAAACATTACGCTGTACACCAGAAATTGATACAACATTGTAAACTGACAATACTTCAATTAAAATTTTCTAGTTTTTAAAATTATTTTCAAATATATGAAGTAATTCAAACAGGCTAATGAAGCAAAGCCTAGTGAAGGTCTTCAGAGGATGTGCTTTAGTTAATAATGAAGTTTTGTAGTTAGTAAAGGAATTCTCTTCTGAACAAGAGAGTCTTCAGAAATGCCTTCTTTGAAACCTGCTGATATGTTTATAAAATTAGAATATTACACAGATAGCTACGTTTCCTGTTTTGTGTAACTGTATTCTGAATATTTTTCTCTTGCCTTTGTCAGGAAAAATTATGAAAGGCTTTGAAATAGGCAAAAAGGATTTTCTAGGTGTTTGTCTTTTATCATCTTTGAGCTGTTTTAAAACTGTAAATTGTAGAAAACTGATAATAATGCAGATGAATCTGGTTCATACAGATACAAATTGTTTGTGTCCTGTGGAATAGAACTGATTATTGCCTTTTATAAAGAGAACAGCTGTTGGATATCTGAGCCAGTGAGAATTTGTTTCTAACTTCACTGACCTGAAGTTGTAAACTCTTTCTGTATTTAGGTGTCTGTAATGTAGAAAAGCTTTTACCTCTTAGTGTTTTGGTGGGTAATGGTTTCCTATTTCCAGAAGGCATTAATACATTAATAATTCTTAAAGGAGCTCTGTACTGATGGCTTGTAGAGACAAAGAAGCACTTACATAAGGAAAAGTTTTCTGCAATTCCCCCCAAATACGGACATTTAACATCTAATATTTTAAATGTGCTGTACCCACCTAGGAAAATTATTTTTACAAAAATAAACTCAGAAGTCTTAAGAATGTAAGTTTATGAAAATAAACATGTCGTTGGCAAACAAGCCTAGCTTAATAATTCTGGTTTAATTAAAAACAGCTTTATCTTCTCAGATTTATCAGTGTTACATTAAAAAACATATATTTTATTCTGCTAGGATTTATTTTTCCTGATTTTATACAGATTTACTAATCAAATAAGCTAACATTAATCACACATGTTGAAAATTATGAAAAATGTAAATTTGTGTTCAAGAAAATGGAATCATTATTCTAACAAATTTTTATTTAAACTTAAATATGTTTTATAATATCTCAGATTGAAGATAATTGTCAGGATCTTTAGATAACTTAAAACCTTGGACTGAAATTAAACTGAGTGATTTAACAGATGATCAATCATTAGATATGAAGATGATTTCTAAGTAAGAGAAAATTCTGAAATATTGGCTACTTCAGCAAAATTTTAAGCATATATACTTTTACTTATTCTTACATTCTGTAGAAGCTATATCTTTTGATCATGTTAATAAATGTGCTCATTTTACAAAGGTTCCATGCTTATGAAAAAGATTCTTTTCAAGCATGTTATTTTCTATATCTATTTTTCAGTGTTTTATTGTTACTTTGACTAAATAGGTAATCAAGAATTGTTTCTCAGGCACCCATGGTCCTCTTTTAAGCAGGTGTCTGAATCTTTTCTAATAACCTTGATTTTTGCTTTCCCTAAATCAGATCTTAATTACAAAAATATATATATTAAACTTTCGGGGTATCTTTTATACCTAAAGTATCTTTGAGATTTCCCAGAAAGCCCATGAAAAATAGTCACAAAGATTTGTTCTTTCACCTTGTAAAAAGAGAAGTGCTTGAAATAATTAGGTTTATTTGGTCTATTTACTATTGTAAATTTCGTGGGAAGAGTTGCCCAATTCGAAGAGATGCTTAGCTCGCCTAAGTTTAAATTTGTTTAGGTAAAATATTATAAATATTTCAGAAATTATGTTTTATGGGAAATCTCTAGAGATTTGTTAACGCCGGTACTGTCCATGTTGTATCTGTATTTATCAGAGTCTCGGTGGTGCTTGCCCTGATCATATTAGGCAACAGCAGTATAGTGGTGTCAGTCATAATTTCAGATGTCATGCAGAATGTTGACTTGACCACAGCCTTCCCTTTTTTTCTAATTGAAGTATAGTTGGTTTACAATGTCATGTTAATTTCCAGTGTATAGCATAGTGATTCAGTTATATATATATATGTATATATATATATATATATATATATGTTCCTTTTCATATTCTTTTTCATTATAGGTTACTGCAGGATATTGAATATAGTTCTCTGTGCTATACAGTAGGAATTTGTTGTTCATCTATTTTATATACAGTAATTAGTATCTGCAAATCTGAACTCTCAGTTTATCCCTCCACTCTCCCTTCCCACCTCGGGTAACCATAAGTTTATTTTCTATGTCTGTCAGTCTGTTTCTGTTTTATAAATAAGTTCATTTGTGTTTTTTTTTTTTAGATTCCATATATCAGTGATGTCATATGGTATTTTTCTTTTTCTTTCGGATTTACTTCACTTAGTATGACAATCTCCAGGTTCATCTATGTTGCTGCAGATGGCATTATTTCATTCTTTTTTACAGCTGAGTAGTATTCCACTGTATATATATATACACCACATCTTCTTTACCCATTCATCTGGACATTAGGTTGCTTCCATGGACATTAGGTTGCTTCCATGTCTTGGCTGTTGTAAATAGTGCTGCTATGAACATTGGGGTGCATGTATCTTTTCAAATTAGAGTTTCCTCTGGGTATATGCCCAGGAGTGGGATTTACAGCCTTGCTCTTAATTTGAATTTATCACCTTCTTGACCTGTAAATTTTTGCTAGGGAATTATGTCACTCTCATACTGACAGTTTGTAAAAAAACACAGGTATCTGGGCTCAGTCAGACTTACTGAATCTCTTTACTTGCTATTCTTGGTTTAAAGCGGGTATTCTCTGTCTCTTTCTCTCTCTGAGGTAGTCATCATTAACTCCATTTTGCAATGAAAAAAACTGGTTTCAAAGAGTTAAGTTCACCAAACTAGTAAATAAATGATGAAACTGGAATTATAAAGCAAGGCAGTCTGTCTCCAAAGCCAATTTTATAAAAAAAAACAACTAAGGTTTAAGGGCACAGCCCTACTAGTAATCAGAGATGGGGTGGATTTTGTCAGGGAGAGACAGAAGAATTTCTTCTAAAAACAAGGCTGGAATCCAAACAGTAATCAAGCAGCTGGATTCATTATTTTGTCAGAGTTTCAGTCAAATTATGCCAATTCCTTCATTTGAGAGGACGTAGAGCCAGCCCTCTTTTGTAGTTGCTGTAATCGCTGAATTTGGTGAGCTCCATCATTCTAGAACATAATATCTTCCTTAAATACACTAAGGTGGTATTTATACAAAGTAGTCATGTAAATTTTTTCTGTACTCATTAACATGGAAAAATGTCCATGATATGCTGTAAACTAAAAATAACAGATTACAGAACAGTATATGGAGTATGGTTTCATGTGTGTGTTAACTCATAGAACAGTTTGGAACGTTGTGCACCAAATTTTCTCGTGTGTGTGGTTAACTGCAGTTATTTTTGGATGATGGGATTATATTATATAATTTATTTTCATTTTATTTTAATTCTAAGAATCATCTAGATGGTAGGATGAAGACAGTTGTTTGCTGTTT